AAATAGTGTAATCATTTCGAAAATTGTCTCCAGGAAAGGAACTGATGGACAAATGAGTATAAAAAAATTGCGTTTCCCCTTGATTTGTTGCCATTAATCATGATTTTCCGCGTTATTTTTTTCTGTTCCGAGATCGCATAACATCTTGATTACGCCTCAATTCTCAATTGATTGTTTATGCCGCACTGCTTTAAAAGAATTAGCATGTCAATGATAATAAACAAGGTAACACCTGTTACGATATTGTTTTAATGTCCCCCCCGGGGATTCCAATGAAAATAAATGAATGTTAAAGCCGCTGGAGTCGGCAATTGAATCGATCAAGTAATCGCGATTATTCGATCACTTCCAGGAATGAGAATATCGGAGATGACAGAGAACATATGTAAACAGGATTGAGAATTATAAAAAATACGGGAAAAACGCATTTGTCGCCATTTATTCGCACTCTCTTCTGCCAGAGAACCTGTTTAATCAGGAATTCACGGATTTACGGTAAACCGCAAAAGAATTTATAATAAAACCATAAAAAACCCAACATATCCATAGAAATTACGATAATTCCACTATAAAACTGCAATTGTCTAAACAAAAAACCTACAAAAATGATAAATATCGCGATTCGAATGAAATCCCCGAAAAAAAAGCAACAACAATGGTTTTGCAATGTTTATGATTTAACTTTCTGACTAGCTTTGAGCGACAAAGATTTGTATCCCTGAATAATTAATAAAAATGAAGAAAGATCTGGGGAGCGCACATCAGACGGCAGAAAAAAAGAGACAGAATGAGAGAAAAAAAAAGTAATGAGTAAAAAATATTGACGATATGAGTAATTATCGGGTGAGGTAAATCCGACCAACAAAAAAAAAATGCCACACATCATGAATTATCATTTTTCCAATGGATACCGAGTTGATAATTAACCGTGGCTCATTAGCGGTGATACGTAGTCGCTGTTACCACGCGTCAACGCGTGATGCATAGTAGCAATATGCACACCAATTACGTCGTTATTTGCACCTATCGTGCATGAAAACAATTATTACCTGAAAAATAGCTATTGTGTAATTTAAAAAAAATAACAACGAGGGAAATTAAAAGATTCCCGGTATTAATTTCACGATGTCTGGACCTCAAGGCAGACGAGAATCCGTTCAATCATGGAAATTCACTTGCGTAATTAAATAAACTTGGACAATTAAAATTATAAATCGGCATTTTCCAATTGCAAAGAAATTCCTTACGCGATTTTTTACTTGGACGATTAGATCTTAGATTGCGATGCATTTCATCGGCATAAATTATTTTTTCCGCGATTTCTGGGGAATTGAAATGAAATTTGTACTCACGTATGGGATAGCCGGTGTAACAGAACATTTTTCAAGTGTTGATGAGTAAAATAATTGAGAGACAATAGAACGAAACTGGATTTAGGCAATTATTATAGGTTGACACATCGGTACATCGCCCAATGGCGATAGAATTTGTTTTAAAAAACTGGAACCAATGGCACGTGAATTATCACAACTGCACTGGGGATGATATTGAAGTGGACTGACCAGGGGAGTTTGTCTGGACTGAATGATTTTTTTTTTATTCCCCTCTTTATTATTCGGAGAGCCAAGAAATTACCAACTAAAGACAACCAGTTTTTGATAATGAACGTCAGTCGTGACTGTAAGAACGTACTCCATTTGAACTGATAAGCATGAATTAAGTTATGCGACGGGGGGAGCAAGAAAAGGCACTCATAATGAGAGAGGAAAAGAAATTGGTTGATGCGTTGGAGATACACCATCGACCTATTATCTATTTAGGTCTCGGGGATATTAGGGGTGCAACGCACATCGTAACTAGACTTGATTGGCTAATTTTACAATAATTATTGTTTAATAAAACATTGGAAAGATTGTGAAAAAAACTACGAGTTCCTGCCGAACCAAATTGTCCATTTTTTTTTATAACAATTATCACGTTAAAGACAGAAATTTAAAATAATTATCATCTCTTTATTATTTCAATTACGTAATTTTTTTTGTTGTTAAAATTGGGTAGTAAAAAATATTATGATGTGAAATAAAATGGTAGAATAGAAAATTGGAAATGAGATGTTGACACACGTGGCTGTCATGACTGATAAGATTGTAATCACCGAGTCGGCGGCCATATTTTCGGGCCGTATCTATAGAATTTCAATTATTTAAAAATTCCGGAGAAATATTATAAGATTCCGTAAATGACGACAATTTTTACATCGCGAGCGTAAAAAATTCTTGGGATCTACAAAAATAGATGAACACATGAATAAATAAAAATTCCATAATAATGATTTCAATGCGTAAACAATTTTTTTCCACCAGGAGTTCCTCTCCACGTGGTGATCTCCATTATTTATTAATAGAGAGACGATGACCGACGGGGGAGATTCATTAGTTGCAAATTTTTATCGGTTTTATTGTTATGTCTTTATTGCAGCGATAAAAGAGCTCTAAGTGTTATTGAGGATTTATAAATGATGGAATGATTGTTTGCAGCGAATGTGAATTTGTTTCTTGGCATTTATTAAATAAAAATTCCCCAAG